ACGAGCTGAAGGGCGCAGGCAGCGAGCTCAAGGCGAGCGCCGAGGCCGCAGCCGCCGAGGTCGCGGGCGAGCTGGAGGCCCTCCGCAAGCGGCTGGCGGGCCTCGAGGCGACCGCGGGGCCGCCGCAGGACCAGGAGGCGCTGGCCGGCGGGGGCGCGGCCGCGGTGGCCGAGGCGGAGGCCCGGCTTGCGGCGAGGCTGCAGGCCCTCGAGGAGCAGCTGGCGTCCCGCCCGGCCAGCGGCGGCGGCGGCGGCGGCGGCGGCGGCGACGACTCCAAGGCGAGGGCGGAGGTGCAGGAGAAGGTGTCCGAGCTGACGGCGCAGCTCGCGAGGGAGCTGGAGGACCTGGCGAGGCACAGGGAGGAGCTCCAGAGCGTCGCCGGCGCTGCCGTCGAGAAGGCCTCCGCGGAGCCGGGCGCCGAGGCGCTGCGAACGCAGCAGGCTGCCCTGGACTCGCTGGCCAAAGACGTGGCGGAGTCGGGCAAGCGGGCCCAGGCGGCGGAGGAGGCTCTGCACGGGCTCCGGCTGGAGCTGAGCCAGATCCGCAGTGCCTCCCCCAAGGTGGGCATCAGCGTCGGCGGCGGGGCCGACGACCTCCGGGAGCGGATGGACCTCCTCGACAAGCAGGTCGGGGAGCTCCGCCTGCAGCTGAAGGGCAAGGCGGCCTTGCTGGGCCACGCCAGGGGCAGGAGCCCCGCCGGAGAGGAGCCTCTGGACTTCTCGCTCACGGGGGCCAGCGAGCAGGCGCGAGGCAACGCCAACCTTGGGGAGGAGCCCCTCGACTTCTCGCTCACGGGCGTGAGCGACCGCCCTGCGAACCTCGGGGACAGCCTGAACCTCTCCCTGACAGAGGCTGCCAAGAAGGACGCGCTCGCCTCGGAGCCGAGGCCGGCGGGCGCCGCCGCCGGGAGCCCCTCCGGCGGCGGCGCGGCAGGCGTGGGGCTGAGCGGCGCGGCTGCCGCCACGGCCGGTGGAGGCGGCGGCCGCTCCAAGCCCTCACCGCTGAAGCTCGAGGCCGATGGGCCCCTGTCCCCCGTGCAGGAGGGCAGCGTCAGCGGCGACCGACGGAGGGCCACCAGCGCCGCCCAGCCCCCGGATGCGCTCGGCGCGCTGCTGGCGGGCCAGCAGTCCGCGGCGTCGCCCGCGGGCGCCAGGCGGTCGCCCTCCGCGGCCTCGCCCGTGGGCGCGGGGCCCGCGGCCGCGCCGCCCGCGAAGTCGCCCGCGAAGTCCCCCGCGTCGGACCGCCTGGCCGCGAGCATGCAGAGCCAGCTCGGGGAGTCCCTGGCGAGCCAGTCCGGCCACGAGGTGAGCCTCTGCGCCGACTACAGCGTGGAGGACTCCACCGAGCTCGAGAAGTGCGACTACTTCGAGGCCGTGGAGCCCCGCAGCTCGCCCCGCGAGGGCCCCGCCGCCTCCCCCAGCGGCTCCCCGGGCGGCGCGCTGGACGGCATCCTCGGGGCCCGGCCCAGGCCCGCGGAGCTCGGGTCCGTGGGCCTCACGCCGGTAGCCGAGGCCCCGAGGTCTGCCGCCTCGACGGGCACCGTCATCCGGCACTCCCCAGAGGCTCGGGCGGGTGCTGCCGTTGGGGGTGGCCCGCCTGGGGGGGAAGGAAGAAGGGCCCCAACGGGGCCCTTCAGGGCCACTCGTGGGGGCCAGCAGGGGCCCAGTGGGGCCCTCTGGAGCCCCTTTTGGGCCCCTGCTGGCCTCCAAAAGTGGCCCTGAAGGGCCCGTTTGGGGCCATTTTTTTAACTTCCCATGTGGGCCACCCCGCATCAGCATTGAGCCGGGCCTGCCCCTCTACAGGAGGAAAGTTCAAACATAGTTTCAGAAAATGGTCCGGGGACGAGCTTCTGACTATTTGGGCCCATTGGAAGGGTTTTTTAATAGTTTTTTGTTGTTTGTTTTTTTATATTTTGTTTTGGTTTTTCGCCGAAAATCCCCCTTTGCAGGGGGTCACGCCCGACTTCACAGCAGCACCCGCCCGAGAGGCGTCCAAGACGCCGCCCGGCGAGGCGACGGGCAGCCCCGCCGCCGCGGGCGGCGAGGCCTCCAGGAGGGGAAAAACCACCCAGACACAACGAATCGTCCACTCCCAGGGAAAAAAATATGAGAAACTAGGGAAGTGTGGGGGGGGAAGACAAAACTTACCCAGAAAGTATGGGAAAATGTAGGGAATCCTGTTATATCTGTGTGTGTTTATTTGTGTCTCCCAGGGCCCCTTCAGTCCACTCCCAGGAACAGATAGGAAAATATGGGAGGTGGGGGGAAGACAAACACCCAGAAAGTATGGGAAAATACCGGGAATCCTGTTATTCGTGTGTACTCCAGATTTCGTAATAAAAGGGAGGGGGTCTGGACCCTCCAAGACAAGCCATTTCAGACCTCCCCCGTGGGAGAACCCTCCAAAACATCGTCCCCAGACCCCCCAGGCCCTCCAAGATAGCCTGGAAGAGACCCCCCCCGAAATGAGACCCCCCTCCCTTTATTACGAAATCTGGTGTATTGATTTGTGTCTCCCAGGGCCCCTTCAGGCCTCCGGGCCGCCGCGCGGCGGGGCGGCCGGCGGCCCCGCCGCCGCGGGCGGCGAGGCCGCCGGCCCCGCCGCGGGGGGCGCCGGGCAGGGCGCGGCCGCGGGCGCGGACGACTACGCGGACGAGTCTTTCGACGAGGACCAGGAGGGGGAAAAAGCACACAGACACAGTGAATCGTCGATTCCCCAGAAAGTATGGGAAAATATGGGAAGTGGGGGGGAAGACAAAAACCGAGAAAATGTAGGAACATATGGGGCATCTGTTTCTTTGTGTGTATTTATTCGTGTGTGCTTCGACGAGTCCTTCGACGAGGACCAGGAGGGGGAAAAACACACAGACACAGTTAATCGTCGATTCCCCAGAAAGTATGGGAAAATACGGTAGAGGGAAGCAATTACTGAACACTCCCCCCCCCTCTCCCAAACTCAATGTTGGCACGCGCGGGGGAGACTGCGGTCGAAGTGCATTTCATCAGACCCACCGCCAACTTTGAACATTGGGGGGAGGGGGAGGCGTTCACGGATGAATGTGGCATGTGTTCGCTAATTTGTTCCGAGGCCTGTATGGGAAGTGGGGGGGAAGACAAAAACCCCGAAAATATAGGAAATTATAGGGAATCTGTTTCTTTGTGTGTGTATTGATTTGTGTGTCCTGGGGCCCCTTCAGAGGACATGTCCATCCCGGAGTCGATCCCCTCGGGCAGCTCCGGCGGTGGCTCCGGCAGCGACGACGAGGTCTGAGCGCGGGGTCGCCGCCGCTTTCAAGCGTTCGGCGTCCGGGGCGGGGCGGCCTCCAGGGCCCCGTCGGGCGCGTGCGGGGCGCCGCCCTCAGGAGCTCCGCTGCAGCGATGAGCCCCCCACGCGCGCCCCCAGGCGGCTTTGCCGGGGCGTCCCTCGGCCTGGGGCCTTGGGCGTTGCGTAATTCTGGACGCCCGACGTGGGCACTGAAAGAATGGGTACAGTGCCCAACAGCAGTTCCTGTTCGTTCTGAACAGGGCTCGCTGTCCGCGCCGCCGCGGCCTGTGTCCATTCGAGGCAGAAGGCCGCCTGTCCAACAGCGGCCGCTGTTGGTTTGAGACAACGTTTGCTGTTGGGCATTGTGCCCATTTTTTCGGTACCCATTTCGGGCGTCCAAAGTAATAGGGGGGTCATACATGGGGGGGGGGGGGGGGGGGCGAGGGTGGTACGACAAGGTATACCCAACCGGTGCCTAAACGACCCCCCTGGGGCTCCGGAGGGGCCCGAAAGGGGCACGAAGGGGGACCGTTTCTGACCCCCCCATTTCTGACCCCCCCGTTAAGCCACGCCCAAGGAGCGCCGCTCTTTGTCCACCGCGCGTGGGCCCTTCTGCGCTGCCTTTGCGGTGCGTTTCACGCCCGCCCGCGCTCTTCCCACCTCGGCCTCACCGCTGCTCCGGGGTGTCTGCCCAGCTCTCAAGGCTTGAGCAGGAGGGGATCGACCACAGAATTGGTTGACCCTTGACCCCAAGGATGGCATTTCTCGTCGCATCGCGACCGAGCATGTTCGGAATTCCCAGTAGATGTGCGATGATTCTGGCGCTTCGTCGTAGGTTCGATGGGGTGATGTACCCTAGAAGTGACGTTCACGTCGAGTCTACGGAAAAAGATATTCCGAGTTCTCCGTATATTTTTACAACAAACATGAGAGGCCTTCGTCGTAGATTCGATGGGGAAGCTCAATTCTGGGGTACGGTGGGGGCGTTGGTTCAGGAATGCCCCCAGGATGCTGCAGACCCTGGATGATTCCTCACCTGATGAGGGCGGCGGTGATATCCATGGCCAAGCTTCGATGGGAGTTCCACCAGCCTCCAGACCCTGGATTCCTTCTCAAAGGGTTCCTTACCCAATTATCCTAAGGCTTGCCTCCAGGGTGCCCTGGGTTTCTTGGGTTTCGATGGTTTCGCCATGGAAAGCGTGACGCTCCCACATCAAAAATCAGTGGACGTCCTGGGGCCTCAGGGTTGGGTTTTTTGTGGAAGGTTTCTAGTGGATCGGCTCCCGCTGTCAATCAATTCTGAAGCTCGATTTCCTGCTCGAGCGGCGCGGGCTTTCTCGCGCGGAGAGCTGCGCGCGAGCACGGAGGCCGAGGCGCTGCGGTCCTTCCCGTCGTGGCCAAGAAAACGGCTCCTCCTCCTCCTCCTCCTCTTCCTCCTCCTCCTCCTCCTCCTCCTCCTCCTCCTCCTCCTCTCTGTGTGCTCTGTTCCTCGTCTCCCGCCTCCTATGAATAAACAGTGGAAAACCCATCCCAGCTCGCACAACCACTGACTTTGGATGTCAAGGGTTTGCAGGTATGGCGACTGTGCGCAAGTGTCGGCACACTGTGAGCGAGGCCAATGCCGTCTACTTGGTCTACAGTTCCTCGTGTGGGGTGTGGGGGTCGCTCTTCATGCGGCCATGCTTCCCTCGAACAAGAACAAGCGCCATAAACATAAACTTTTGGCGCTCCGCGCGGACGTCTTGGATCCGCGCTGGACCCCCCCGGCAGTTCCTCTGGCGCCGCCCCCGGCGCGCCCCGCGCGCCAGGGAGGGGGGGTCCTGCGCGGAACCAAAAATCCGCGCGGAGCGCCAAAAGTTGATGTTTATGCCGTTTCGTCTACTTCTACGACCGCCCACCCACTCCCCACCCCCTCTCTGTCCTTTCCCCCCCCCTGCATCCCTGCCTCCGCTCCCCGCTGGGCACCTTCCCTCCTCACCGTCCCTTTTCTCGGAACCGCGCGATTGCCTAGCACCACGCTGCGGACACAAGCAGCAGAAGAACTGCGCTGTCTCCGCCTTGCCCGTTCCGTCTCTGAGCTGGCGTTGCCAGCTCTCCAGATCTATTCGACGCGGTCGCGGCGCCAGTGAAGCCCGGCAGAACAAAAGGGACGCTTAGTGGATGCCCAAGACCCGCCTCTGCAAGGGCCCGCGTACGCCGTCGCGGCGAGAGCTCGACCGCGCGCAGGAGAGCTTGGACAAGGCGTTCAAGGACAACGACCTCGAGTCCGCCTATGGCCGCATCGCCGCGTCGTTCGCACACATGGTCTGGACCGGCTACGCGGCCTGCGGGCTTGCCAAGTGGCAGTTCCTCCCGCCGGGGGACCCGTCCAGGCCGCGGCGGCGGACGAGCTACCTGCCGCGGCCCTAGCTGCCCCTGCCCGCATGCGGCCTCCACGGCATGGAGGCGCGCACGAGCATACTCTAGCCGCAGATGATCTGCACAGTGCCGTTTTTAATACATGCTCCGCGTGCGGATCATGTATGAAAAATGCAGTGATTTAGTCTTAAAAATAAGGATCATGCATACATTTGTTCATAAATGAAGCATGTATTAAAAGATCGATATGTTTAAAATCCTATGTATTAAAAACTGCTCTGTACGACAGCCGAGCGCGTTTGCCTCCCCCACTCGGCATGCTGCGGCAGCCAGATCCAAAGGAAGGAGCTCCCGACCCGCCTCGCACATCCTGCACCCAGTGCCGTTTTTAATACGTGCTCCGCGTGCGAATCACGTATGAAAAATGCAAGGATTCAGTAGTAACAACAACGCTGGGCTCATGTATAAATTTATTCACAAATTCATCATGTATTAGAAATCTTATATGTTAACCAATCCTATGTATTGAAACTGCCCTGTACCGCGGCCGCCGGGCCCAGAGTGTGCCGGTGCTCCTCGGGCATCCCGCCTCGTGCCTTCGAGGAATGACGACTGCACGCCGCGGCCGCCAGGCCCTCCGGGGGCCTGGTGCTCCCTGGGGATCCCGCCGCGCGTTCTTGGCTGGAGTTCGCTCGCAGCCAAACAGTTGCTCAAAATCGTTTTTTTGTTTTCCGAAGTTGGTCCGGGTTGATTTGGTGCGAGGAGGCGGGTGGCAGTGGAAGTATTACGTAGCAGTCAGGTTGCAATGCTCGTTCGAGTGCAATGCAACGCGATGCAGTACAAACCGATGCATTGCAACGACGTGCAACGCATTGCAACGCGAAGCGACGTGACGGCAAAGCACAGCGAAGCTATGTACAATAGTACGTCGACGCAGTTGAAGCGCAAAGCCGCCAAGCAATCTAGAGCAAAGTAAGATGAATTCAGCCTCGTAAAGCGAAACCGCAATGCACAGCACAGTACTGGACTGCACTACGAAGCAAAGCCGTTCAAGAAGAAAAGCAGAGCAAACCCAAGCCCCGCGATACAGCTACCGCCATGCTTGTGACACCCGATTGCACTTCTGTTCAGCTTGGTTTCAGCTTGATCTCATGTTCAGCTTGTCTGTACTGTGTTCGCCTGACCACCTGGAGTTTGTTCGAGGTGTCAGAGGGAGCAACAAGAGTCCCGATCCGTGTCGCGCTGCTTGTTTTTCATGCCTCCACGGCACTGGCGATCCGCCGGTCGGTCCGCGCCCGTTGGTTGCTGAGCTAGCTGGACCCAATTTGCCACCATGGGAAATTCCCATCGAGACCCGTTCCCATTCCCATTGGGAGTGGGAACGGGTCTCGATGTCCTCGCTGATGGGGCTCATACCTCACCCGCTGTTCCTGTCGCCAGCATCCGTGAAAAGCGCAGCGCCAGGCAGTGCTTTCGGGGGCGGTGGGCGGGATCGGCGTGCACTCTGGTGAACGCTGTTCCGGTCCATCTCGCGAGTCTTGCGGGTTGGCCGTGCCATCATTGCAGGCACAACGAACAAGAAGCCAGCCTGCCACCAGGTGCCTCACGTTAGATTCCATCTCGCCGGTGGCCCTGGGTACCCAACGAAGCCCCGGGGCACCTGGGGGAGTCTCCAGATCGACGACGCGCATGCCCCAGGTTTCCTATCGCGCGATTTTTTACTTTTCTCTTCCTGTGCTGTAGGTTCGTCAAGCTCGCCTCCACCACTTCCAGATAAGCTGTCTGCGCGTGGCCCGCTCGCTCGCCGAGCAGGCGTCCGCGTGCTGGGCTCGGTCCACGACCCGGCGGCTTCCGGCCAGGGCCTGGCCGGGAATCTGCTGATAGCCTCTGTCGGGCCGAACGAAAGGGGGGGATTGGGAAAGGGGGGGTTACGAAATCTGCTGCGTGCAGCTGGTTTCGGCCCCACCGAGGGGCCCATTCCTCGATGCACAGCAGCCTCCGGCGCCGGGAGGCGCCGGGAAAGTCAGCTACGTGAGCTGATTCTCAAACCCCCCCTTTGCTATCCCCCCCCTTTCGCCCGGCCCGACTCTGGGGAATTCCAGGGACCACTCAGAAGGATCAGGGCTCGAGCTAAACTGTGGTTTGGCGATTTCGTGGACGGGTTTCGCTTTGAGTTCGTCTCGCGGCAGGGGCGGAAAGAAGACAGAGCGAGGGACAACGAAGACAAGACGACAACGACATAGCTCGAGCCCTGAGATGTGTCTGGTGGCCTCCGGGGCCTCGGGGAGCTCGTTGACGGCTTCCATTCGGGGGTGGGGCAAATTTATAGACACAATGCATCGTCGACCCCCAGGGAAGTATTGGAAAACATGGGAGGCGGGGGGGGGCAAGACGAACTCCCAGAACACCCGAGAAAATGGGAGGCATCCTGGGATCTGTGTGTCTGTTTCTTCGTGTGCCCCAGGGCCCCCTCGTCCACGTCCCGCAGCCCCCCCCCCCCCTGCCCCCGACCCCAGGCAGGGCGCGCGGCAGGGTCCGTCCTGGAAGCGCGCGCGCCCAGCTCGCGCGGCGCGGCCGGTGGTCTCTCGGGCCGGCCGGCAGCGCCTCCGCGGGGCTCCCGGCGCTGCCGTCCCAGCCACAGGCGCTCCGCATGCCGCCCCCGGCGTGCGCCCCACCCCCCACGGAGGGGGCGGGCGACGGGACTCCTGGCGATGCCGTCCCAGCCAAACTTTGGACGCCCGACATGGGTACTTTGTTCGTGAATTTAATTGGTTTTGGGGTTTCAACAAATGGTCGCAGCCACGCAGAGGGCGTGCGTAGCGACGCCTTACATGCTCGGTCTCCAGTACTTCTACGTGGCGGCGCCCCCGCAGGCACGCAGAGGGCACGCGTGGCGACGGGGGCGTCGCCACGTAGAGCTTCTAAAGACCAAACATTTTGAAAGCCAATTGTTTCCACTACTAAAGCACGGAAAGAATGGGTACAATGCCCAACAGCAGTTCCTGATCATTCTGAACAGGGCTCGCTGTCCACGCCGCCGCGGCCTGCGTCCATTCGAGACAGGAGGCCGCCTGCCCAACTGCGGCCGCTGTTGGTATGGGACAGCAGTTGTTGTTGGGCATCGTGCCCATTCTTTCCCTACCCATTTCGGGCGTCCAGATAAACGTTCCACATGCCCCCTGTCGTGCTTCCCCCCCCCGGGGGGGCGGGCGGCCGGCTTCTCGCTCTCGGCCTGGGTGGGGGGGGGCTTCTGCTTTGCAGCTGGGCAACCAGGGTGGCGGCGCCCGTCCGGAATGCAGGGGTGGGTCGAGATTCCTTCGCGGATCTTCTGGACAGGCTGTTCTCTCAGACGCGCGGTGCCACGACGATCGGCGTGCCGTCTCTTGCTCCCGGCTGCCAGCTGCTTCGTCTGAAGTCTTCGTGCCCTGGCGCAGTGCCCAGGCGAGGCGTGGTGCAGGACTGCGGTGAGTGTCCCGGCAGCAACGACAGCTCGATCGTTGTGGCACCCCGCAGTCCGCTGGAGATACACACACACACACCCTTACTGCCCGTTCCGCGCCAGGCCGTCGTTGGCTGGCCATCAGCTCTTGCGGATGACTCCTGGGGCCCCGCCCCCCGCGGTAGCCACGGCATGATCGCTCCCTTCGGCGATGGCCTCCCCAGGCCAGCCACCACTGGGGGAGCTGTGGCCCTTACCCCCCCCTGGCCTGGCATCGCTCGGACGCGTGCATTTTTCCTTCGGCGAGGACCATCGAGGAGCATCCCTGATCACTTCGCGAGAAAGCCACGCGCGAAACCGAAAAAAAAACACAGGAAATGGACGTTCGAGCGACGGCCAGCTGGGGGACCCCTCGATCTCGACGCCCCTCTCGAGAGAGGTCGTTCACGCGATGGGCTCCCCCCAGGGGGGGGGCTAAGGACCACGGCCTCCCCCCCCGGTGATGGCTCGTCGGGCGCCTCGCCCGGGGAATGCCCCCTCGCGGTCGAGGCGTCGAGGGCCCCCCCCTCGCGGGCGCGGGCCGTCCTGCCTTGGCGCCCGCGGCTGCCCTCCGAGTCTCCGCTCCCTCGTCCCCCCTGGGGGACCCCTCGATCTCGACGCCCCTCTCGAGAGAGATCGTCGGCGCGATGGGCTCCCCCCAGGGGGGTAAGGACCACAGCCTCCCCCCCAGCGATGGCTCGTCGGGCGCCTCGCCCGGGGGTGCCCCCTCGCCGTCGAGGAGGCGAGCGCCCCCCCTCGCGGGCGCGGGCCGTCCTGCCGGGCGCCCGCGGCTGCCCTCCGGGCCTCCGCTTCCCTGCGTCAGGCCCCTGGCATCGCTCGGACGTGTGCCTTTTTCCTTCGGCGAGGACCATCGAGGAGTATCCCGGATCCTTTGGCGAAACAAAGCCACGCACGAGACCGACAAAAAACACAGGGAATGGGCGTCCGAGCGACGGCCAGGGTCGGGCATGTCTTCCCGCAGGCGGGTTCTGGACGAAAGCCAAGCACACTCGAGACACAGCAGACATGCTCAAGCATAGTTTGACGAACCATCGTCCCCAGACGATTTTTTAACGATTCTGAAATCTTCCTCCTGTGGAGGGACACGCACCCCCTGCGGCGGCTCCCTCCCCCGCCGCCCGCGCGCTGGCCTGGTGGAGCCGAGCCCGCCGCGGGGAGCGCTCGGACCCCCGTCGTGCGCGAGCCCCGCTGCACGGAGGGAGCTCCGTGCCTTGAAGAAGAAAGAACGCCACGAACATAAATTTGTAGCGCCTGCCCCGCCCTCGCTCCCGCCTCCGCCCTCGAACGAGGGGCCGATTTTCTACCGCCGCCACCATCGGTAGGAGAGGGAGGAGCAAGCTGAGGAGGAGGCGTCGAAGAAGAAGCCACGCCACGAACATGAGCTTGTAGCGCCCCGCGCGCATTTCTTGGAGGTCCGCGCTAGGCCTCCCCTGCGGCCGGCGCCGCCCCTGGCGCGCTCCGCGCGGAGCGCCAAGCGTTTCTGCTCATGACGTTTTATCAGGAGGGAAAAAAACACACAGACACAATTAATCGTCGATTCCCCAGAAAATATGGGAAATATGGGAAGTTGGGGGGAAGACGAAAGCCCAGAACATATGGGAAAATATGGGGAATTTGTTTGATTTGTGTCTAGTTATTTGTGTGTCCTGGGGCCCCTTCATTTTTGTTCTTCTCCTGATGTGCCACGGGTTCGCGCAGCGTGCCGACCCGGCGGCGACCCCCGGCGCTTCGGCGTGCCGCGTGGAGCGCGCTCGCTGGCGACCCGGAGGCGCTCGATGTGGCAGGATCTCGTGATGGGGCTGTTTTCCACCACCACCACCACCACCATAAGTTGGAGGAGGAGGAGGAGGAGGAGGAGGAGGAGGAGGAGGAGGAGGGGGGAGGAGGAGGAGGGGGAGGGGGAGGAGGAGGAGGAGGAGGAGGAGGAGGAGGAGGAGGAGGAGGAGGACCCCCTCCCCCTCCAGCTTGTGGTGGTGGTGGTGGTGGAAAACAGGCCCATCATCCCTGGCGCTTCGGAAGCGGCCGCTCGTTCCAGGTCGAGCGGGCCCCGCGTTGGTCAGGAGCCAACGCCGACAGCGGCACGGCACGCAGCTGCCGCGACACGGGCAGGCGCGGGGCGGCTGCGTCGGCGGAGGGCGAGGGGGGCAGAGGTCAGGCGGGCTTAAGTCGAGCACGCCCCTCTGCAGGAGGAATGCAGTGGAGGCCCATGCCAAGAAGCACCCTGCTTGCCTCCAGGGTGCCGCCCTGGGTTTCTTGGGCTTCGATGGTTTTGACAAGGGGCGCGTGACGTTCTCACACCAAAACTCCATGGACTTCCTGCGCTCTCAGGCTTGGGTTTCTCGTGGAAGGTTTCTTGTGGTCGGTCCTCCATTGTATTCAATGATCGGAAAAATAGTCTGGCGACGATTTGTTCGTGCTCTTTGGACTATTTTGTGGTCTTGTTTGACAGCTCTGTATTTTTCTTCCAGCATCCGCCTCTAAGAGCACATGCCCGACCAAAGGGCAGGGGGCATGGGGGAGGGGGCCAGGCAGCGGGGTTCCCCGAGGCTGGCGCCCATAGTGCTGCACGGCCTGTACAACTGGTGCTCCACGCTGCAGCGCTGCGAGGCGTACGAGGATCCGCCACCCACTTATTTATTTGAGCATATATGTAGTCATGTATGTCTTTTCATGGATGTAATTGGTTGTTTAGTTATCCATTCGATTATTTCTATATATATATGTACATATACATATATATACACACACCCTCCAATCAATTGATCCTGGGTCTCAGGGGAGGGTGGCGGTGCAGAGATCACCACTGAGAGCCAGCGATGTTGTGCACCGCCTTTCTCCCTGAGGGTACATAACGAAGTTCCTCGGAGGGTGTCTGTGTGTACAAGTATGTCTATACATATATATAAATATATATGTATATATACACATATGTGTGTTGGTGGCGCACAGGAGACGTACCAGGGGAAGCTGTACAAGAGCGACGGCTGCTACCTTCCGCCGATGTGGCGCATCGTCTTCAAGGGTGGCCGCCGAATCCAAGCGGCGCGCCCCCGTCTTCACCGAACCCCTTGCCTATCGTGCTCCAACTTACTTTAGCTTTGATCGCCCGAAGGAATTTCGAGCATTCAGAAAAGAGCGGAAATTGAAGGTTTTCACATGTTGGGCCTCGGGAGGCGATGCTCGTTCGACACTGTTTCGACACTTCCCTGGGTGCCTGAGATCATGTCTGGGATGTGGTCCTTAAACACGATGGGAGCAATATCACCCCTGGCGCGGGGCCTCTGGAGGGAGCCCCTGCTCCGCCTCGCTGCCCTACTCCGGGCTCCGCGGCGGTCGCCGCTCTCTCTGGCCCCTCCTTCCGGGACACGGGCCCGATCCTTCGGCGCCATGTGCAGCACGCCCCTGCCCTGCCCTCGCTCTCGCCGCCGCCCTCGAATCAGGGGCCGATCTTCTGCTACCACTACCACAGGCAGGAGGAGGAGGAGGAGGAGGAGGAGGAGGAGGAGGAGGAGGAGGAGGAGGCGGAGAAGGAGGAGGAGGAGGAGGAGGAGTCGAAGAAGAACAAGCGCCGTACACATAAACTTTTGGCGCTCCGCGCGTATTTCTTGGATCCGCGCCTGGCCCCCCCTGGCGGCGCCTCCGGCGCCGCCCCTGGCGCGCTCCGCGCGGCAGGAAGGGGGTCCAGCGTGGATCCAAGATAACCGCGCGGAGCGCCAAGAGTTGATATTTCTGCCGTTTCTTCTTCTTATAAGGAGGAGGAGGAGGAGGAGCAAGAGGAGAAGGAGGAGGAGAAGGAGGAGAAGGACTCCCCTATCCTCCCTTCTCCCCCGTCCTACCTCTGGTAGTGGTGGTGGAAAGTTGGCCCATCATCGAAGGCCGAATTTGCACGAAAAGCAGTTGTCGTGCACTGCTCTCTCTCTCTCTCTCTCTCCCTCTCTCTCTCTCTCTCTCTCTCAGAGGGCACGAAAGGGCCCGCCTCTTCAGAGAGGGCCAGAGATTATGCTCTCAGGGAGCTCTTTGCCTCCGAGATGACTTCTGCCCCTCTATTATATAGAGACCTGGCCCCCCCCCCCGCTTCCCAGACTCTCTTTGGAGCTGGGTCCCGCGGGCGGGGCGCGTTGCCGCAGAGTCGTCATGGCAGCCTGGGTCGTGTCGCGTTCGCCGCCCCCCCCCCTCCTCCTCCTCCTCCCTCCTCCTCCTCCTCCTCCTCCTCCTCCTCCTCCTCCTCCTCCTCCTCCTCCTCCTCCTCCTCCTCCTCCTCCTCCTCCTCCCCCTCCCCCAGCTGGGCTGGAACCTGCCGCGGCGCGACCTTGAAAAGGGCCCGACGCTGCGAAGACAGCTGCGAACATCGCGAGGCATCACGACCGGGAGCCCCAGGCCTACTCTGAAGTCGGGCTCGTCCCTCTGGAGGAGGAGGAGGAGGAGGTGGAGGAGGAGGAGGAGGAGGAAGTATAGTAGAATATATATATATATATATAGGCACGATGACTTCTGTCTATGGAAGAATATTTCTCGACTACTTTTAATTCTTCTCCCAGGAGCCGCCTGTCGGAGGACACTCCTGACCTAAACCTGGTGTTGTACTTTTCTTCCAAACGCCGCCTGTAGGAGGACATGCCCGACCTGAACCTACTCTTGCTGCGGCCCTCTTCGAGCCGGATCGAGAGACGTGATGGGTCCAAGAGCCGAACCAGGGTGAAAGCGCCCAGTGGGAAACACTTGAGACACCCAGGTTCGAGGGGGCACGACATTACCCGAGCGATGCACCCAGCCCTTGCGCAACGAGCTGTCAGATCAGTCGGATCGAACTTTTAGGTCAGGGGTAACAACATGGCACGAACTGGAATGTGTTCCGAAGTGAAGTGGGAGGCTAGCGCGTTGTGGACTCACGGGGCACACGTTGAAGGGTAATTACTCACTGTGCTGGTCCCCCTACAGCAGCAGGCGTCAACAGTGGCGACCTGTTTGCACTTCGTAGCCCCCCCCAGGGGACGGCGACATCCAATCTGAATCTCAGTGGGACGTCGATGTGCTGTCAGCGGCAGCAGCCCTCGAACATGGCGGCAGTTTCGCAACTCGCGGGCCCCCAAACACAGCAATGTCTAATATGAACCTTAGTAGGCTCGCGCTGAGCTGGGTCCACCAGCTGCCTTCGAACGTGGCAACAGTTTCGCAGATCTCAGCCCCCCAGGGGTGGCGAGGTCTATTCTGAGTCCCCGTAGGACGTCAATGTGCTGTCCCCCCCCCAGCGCCCCCCCCAGCGGCCTTCGAACAGGGTGTGAGTTTTGCATGCCGCAGCTCCCCGGGCATGGCGATGTCTGAATTCCCACAGGCCGGCACTGTGCTGCCCCCGCCAGGAGCTTCACGCACGGTGGCAGGTTTGCAATGTGAAGCCCCCTCCCAACCCCACCGGGCATGTCGAGGTCTGCGCGAAAGCCCTGTAGGACGTCGCCGTGATGCGCCCCCAGCAGCCTTCGGGAGTTGTGACGTGCTCGCAGCTCGCAGCCCCCCCAGGCACGGCGGGGTCGACTCTGAATCCCCGTGGGCCCGCACCCCCCCCAGCAGCCTTAGAACGTGGAGACGGTTCCGTACTTCGCAGCCCCCCCCCTCCAGATTGTGGGGCCTAGCCTGGGTCCACGTAGGCCCGCACTGCGCCGACCCCCCTCCAGAAGCCGTCGAACGTGGCGACAGTTTCGCAGTTCGCAGTTCCCCGGGGACTGCGATGTCTAGCATGAGTCCCTGAAGGCCCGCAGCGATGTCGGATCTGAGCACCCGAAGGCCCGCACTGCGCTGGGCCCTGGACAGCAGCCCTAGACAGCTGCGACACGTTCGCAGCTCGCAGCTCGCCTCCCCCCAGGGATGGCGAGGTCTAGTCTGAGACCTCGGAAGCCCGCAATGCGTTGGGCGACGGTTTCGCAGTTCGCAGCCCCATTAAATCCCCGTCGGCCTCACTGCGCTCACCCCCCAAGTATCCCTCCAGGACGGAGGCGATGTCACTGGTCGCAGCCCCCCCAGGGATGGCGAGGTGTACTCTGGGTCTGCGTACGGCGTCAGCGCGCTAGGCCCCACAGCAGGCCTCGAAACTCGCATGAGATTTACAGTTCGTAGCCACCGCCAGGCATGGCGTTGTCTAGTTTGAATTCCCGTAAACCGTGACTGTGCTGTCCCCCAGAAGCACTCGAACGCGGCAGCAGTCTCGCAATTCGCATCACCCTTCCCTCCCGGGATGGCGAGGCCCACGCTGAAGCACCGTGGGACGTCGTTATGTTTGTCCCCCATCGAACGTTGCGACATTGCCGCGCGTCGCAGCCCCCCCCAGGGATGGCGAGGTCTATTCTGCGTTCCCGTAGGCCCGCACCCCCAAGCAGCCCTCGAACGTGGCGACCATCTCGCGACCCGCAGCTCCCCCAGGGATTGCGATATTTAAATTGAGTCTTCATAGGCTCACTCGGTGCTGCCCCCCCTAGCAGCCTTCGAAGCGACAGGTTCGCAGTTACCAGGCCCCCAGGGATAACAATGTCTAATCCGAGCCCCCGTATGACCGCCCTGCGCTCTACCCCCAGCAGCCTTCGAAGATGGCGAAAGGTTCGTAGTCTGCAGCTCCCCAGGGACAGCGATGCCTACTCAGAGCCCCCGAAGGCCCGCACCGCGCCCTCCCTCGGCCCTCGAACGCCGCCACGCTTTCGCAGCTCGCAGCTCGCCTTTCCGCCCAGGGATGGCGAGATCTAGCCTGAGACCCCGCAGGCCCGCAGTGCGCCGGGCGACAGAGTCGCAGCTCGCAGGCCCCAGGAATGGCGAGGTCCCATCTGGGCTCCCGTGGGCATGCGCTGCGCTGGCCCCCGGCACCCTTCCAACACAGCGGCAGGTTTACGTGTCGCAGAACCAGTCGGATGGCGAAGTCTAATCTGGGTTTGCGCAGGGCGTCACTGCGCTGGGCCCAGCAGCAGCCCTCAAACGTGGCGACAGCTTCACACCCCAAAGATGGCGAGATCTAATCTGGGTCTGCGCAGAGCGTCATTTCGCTGGACCTCTCGGCAACCATCGAGTGGCGACAGTTTCGTATTTCGCAAGCCCCCCATGGATGGCGAGGTCCAATAGGAACCTGGTTGGGAGGCGTGGCTGCGCTCCTCCCCCCCCCAGCAGCCCTCGAACGTGGCGACAGTGTTGTAGCTTGCAGCCCTCCAAGGATGGTGAGGTCTAACCTGAATATTGGTAAGGTGTCACTGTGCTGGAAGTTCGCAGCCCCCCGCCCCCCCAGGGACGGCGAGGTCTAGTTAGTCTGAATGTCCGTGGGACGTCACTGTGCTGGGCCACCTCAGCAGCCTTCGAAAATGGGGGGGGGGGGGGGCACTGCGCTGGGCCACCCTGCAGCCGTCGAAAGTTGTGACAGGTTCGCAGCTCGCAGCTCCCCAGGGATCGCGAGGTCTCATCTAAATATGATTAGGGCTTCAGTGTGCGCCCCCCCCCTAAGCCAGCCCTCGAAAGTGGCGGCAGTTTCGTAGCCTGCAGCCCCTTAAGCATGGCGAGGTCGAGTCTGCATCTGGTTACGGCGTCGCTGCGCTGGGCCACCCGGCAACCCTCGAAAGTGGCGATAGTTTTGAAGTTCGCAACCCCCAGGGATGGCAAGGTCTAATCTGAATCTGACTAGGGTGCCGTTGCCCCCCTTGCACAGTTCCCAGCCCTTGCCCCAGGATTGGCGAGCTCGAATCTAAATTTGGTAAGGGCGGCATTGTGCTGCCCCACCCCCTAATGCAGCCCGCGAAAGTAGCGGCAGTGTCGTAATCCGCAGGCCCCTAAGCTCGGCGAGGTCTAGTCCGAATAAACGTTGCGGCAATTTCATAATGCGCAGCCCCCTAAGCATGGCGAGGTCTAGTCTGAGTGAAGGTGGTGGCACTTTCGCAATTCACAGCCCCTTTATGCATTGCGAGGTCTAGTCCGAACGAAAGTGGCGGCATTTTCGTAGCTCGCAGCCCCTGAGCTTGGCGAGGTCTGGTCTGAATCAGGGCGCCACTATTGTGTGGGCCACCCGGCGGCCCTCGAAACTTGCGACAGTTTCGCAGCTCGCAGCCCCCCCCAGGATTGGCGAGGTCTAACCTACATCTGGTTAGGGCATCACTGCTGGGAGCCCCCAGCAGCCCTCGAAACTGACGATAGTTTCGCAGCTCGCAGCCCCCTAGGGATGGCGAGGTCAAATCTACATCTGGTCAGGGCGTCACTGCACTAGTCCCCCAGCAGCCCTCGAAAGTGGAGCCCATTTCGCAGTTTGCAGACTCCCAGGGATGGCGAGGTGTAGTTTCAATATGTCTAAGTCGCCCTCCATGCAATCCTCGAAAGTGGTATCAGTTTCGCATTTCGCAGCCCCCCAGGGATGGCGAGGTTTAACCTGGATATGGTCAGGGTGTCACTGAGCTGGTTTCTCCATGCATGCAGTCCTCGAAAGTGGCGACAGTTTTGCAGCTCGCAACCATCCCAGGGATGGCGAGGTCGAATCCGAATCTGGTCAGGGTGTCGCTGTGCTGGTCCCCTCATGCAGCCCTCGAAAGCGGCGACACTTTCGCAGTTCGCAGCTCCTCAGGGATGTTGAGATACAGAAGAGACAGGTAGGAGGCAGGCTGGAAGAGAAGAAGGGAGGGAAGGGTCGGGAGGACTGAGAACGCAGAAAGAGAGCCAAACACAGCAGGGTTGGGAACACGAATTTTGTTCGGCATCACCCAGGTGGGCACACCGTGGTCATGCTCTTGAGCTTCTACTGGTGGCACACCGAGTTCTCCGAGATTGCCGGCGACGAGGAGGAGGCGAACGGAGCGAGCCTCGAAGACGGGGGTTTGGCGGCGGCCTCATGCCAAGAGACTCCGATGAGGCGTCATTTAAACTTGACCCTTCGTGTATCTCACTACATCGGGGGCGTTGGTTCATTCGTGTGCCAAGGAGGTTTCAGACCCTGGGGGATTCCAGACTCTACAGGCTTACGCCACATCCGCCAACCCCTTCTGTGAGTGTTGCGAGGCCAGGAGTTTCTGGCCAGCGGCGTCTTGTGTGAGGGTGCGGTGTCGCGCGCGGGTGGTGGCAGATACGTGGGGGGTCCAAATGTTTGCGTGATGCCGGTGGTCTGGGGCGTGTTTTGCGAGCGCTTTGCGTGCTGTGCACCCGGGTGCGGGGTGTCCTTCTGGGAGGTCGGCCTTTCGACCCGCAACCAAGTGGAGGAGCACGGGAAGACGAAAGGAGCAAGAGTAGTGTGTGGAAGCTGTGATCAGCGAAGCATCACAGCGAAAGATGTGGCAGATGAATCGAAACGGGTGAAAAGGCTGTTGACGTTCGCAGCGCGCACGAAACAGTCCGCGCGGCAGCAGCACATTAGCGCCGAGCAAGATAGTGAGCACGTCGCGAGGAAGAGTAAGGTTGTATGCGCGGAGTGCATTGCAGTTGGCGTGACGGCTCGCAATACGGAAGCGTCTGGGGGTCTTTGGGGGGCCTCCTGGGGGCCTCTTGTGGGCTCCTTGGGGCGTCTTGGCGGTTTCTTGGGCCCCCTGGGGCTCGTGGGGCAGAAAGCTAGATTTTTGAATTGTTGGTTGCCCTCTTGGGCCCCTCTTGGTTCCGTCTTGGAGCCTTCTTGGGCCGTTTTGGGGACCTCTTGGGCCGTCTTGGGGCCATATTGGACCGTCGCGGGGCCGTCTTCGGGGCCTCTTGGGCCGTCTTGGGGCGGTTTTCGGGGCCTCTTGGGCCGTCTAGGAGCGTCGGAAAGCCCAGAAGGCGGATGCGTGAACATTGTACGTTTTACGACGGGAATAAGTACATTTCTGCGTCCAGGGACCGTCTTGGGACGCATCTTGGGGGCCTCTCAGGGGCGTGTTGGGCCATCTGGAGGCCATTTCGGGTGTCTTCGATCGCTCTTGGACCGTGTGGGACCATGTTGAGCTCTCTTGGAAGCCACTTGGAGCGCTCTTGGGGCCGTCATCGGGGCTCTCTTGGGCCGTCTTCGGCGCCGCTTGAGCCGTCTTAGCGCCTTGTTGGGCTGTCTTGGGGCCCTCTTGGAGGCTTCTTGGGCCGTCTTGGGGCGGTCTTGGGGGCCTCTTGGGCCGTCTGGGAGCGTCGGAAAGCCCGAAAGGCGAATTTGTGAAAAACGCACGCTTTACGAAGGGAACGGGCTAATTTTTGCGTCTAGAGGCCCTCTTGGGACGCATCTTGGATGCCTCTTGGGGCCTCTTGGGGGCATCTTGGGCCGTCAGGAGGCCATCTTCGGTGTCTTTGATCGCTCTTGGGCTGTCTGGGACCATATTGAGCTCTCTTGGAGGCCACTTGGGGCGCTCCTGGAGCGCTCTTGGGGCCCTTTTCGGGGCCCTGTTGGGCCGTCTTGGACGCTTGTTGGGCCGTCTTGGGGCCCTCTTGGGCTATCTTGGGACCCTCTTGGAGGTTTCTTGGGCCGTCTTGGGGCGGTCTTCGGGGCCTCTTGGGCCGTCTTGGAGCGTCGGAAAGCCCAGAAAGCGAATTTGTGAAAATTATACGTTTTACGAAGGGAATGAGCCAATTTTTGCGTCTAGGGACCCTCTTGGGACGCATCTTGGAGGCCTCTTGGGGCCTCGTGGGTACCTCTTGGGCCGTCTTGGAGGCCTCTAGGCTCGTCTTGGGGCCATCTTGGGCGTCTGGGAGCGCTCGTTTGGCGTCTCGGGGCCCTCGTGGGCCATCTTGGAGGCCTCTTGGAGCCTTCTGGGCCCGTCTTGATCCCCTTTTGGGCCCAAAAGAGCCCCGTGATGTGCTCGTCGTGGGCCCGGGGGGGGGGGTCAAATCTGCAGTTTGGGGTCCCTGGGGGGGGATTATGGGGGGGGAACTATCTCACACGCCTAGAGACCCACAAGGGGTCGGCGGATTTGGTGGGGGCGTGGTGATATCCATGGTCAATACACGATGGGAGCGTCTCCGGCTTCCAGATCCTGGATGTTCTTACCCACGGGTTCCTGCTCCAATGCCCTCACCGTACTTCAGGCGCGCCAGATATGACACTGGCCTGCCAGCAGGTGCCTGGCGATGGCTTCTCATCTCCCGATGGGGTCGCGCGCGGAGCGCTGGAGCGCCCTGCGATGCTAAGGGTCGTCGAAGGATGTGCACCCCCCTCCATATCTCCTGCAGCAGGATGTGTCCCATCGTGACGTGCCTGCTGTACATCGCCCATCCAGAGGCGATTCCAAGGCGAGTTGTCGTGAGGGTCGCGGAGGAGCACCAGTGAAACAAGGGAGGTGGGCACCAGCCACACCGAAGCTTCGGCCAGCTTGAGCAGGCCCCTACAGGGGGCAGCTTGGGGACCTCTGGGAGCCTCTTGGGAGGCTCTTGGAACCATCTTGGGGCTGTCCTGTGGCCATTCTGGGAGTCTTTGGGGCTTCCTGTGGCTCTCTTGGGGGCCTTCTCGAGAGCCGACCATCTGTTGCCAACATGGAGGTGTCAGCAAGGGGGGCTCCTGATTACCGCCCCCCCATCGGTACCAGAAAAATCGTCAAGACATCTTCCCAGACCCCCGACGTCGTGATTTTTTCAAAACGTCGGCCCCCAGAGGTCTGGACCCCTTCCCCGGGACTGTTTTTTCATCCTGAGTCGTTTTTTGACTCCCGAGGCCCGGGATGGCCCCCCGGAGGCTGAAAATAGCGGAAAACCTCCCGTCGTGATTTCGCAACGCGAGGCTCATCGAACGCCGACTGACATGGGCACCTGCAGATGTAAGCGCTGGCTTCACTGGGCCATCCTTGGCAGGCGCGGTGACTTTACCTCGAGCAGTCTTGGGCCGGTCTTGGGGCCTCGTAGATCCATGCTGACGGCAGTTCTGAGCCAATATCGGCCGTCTTGTGCGATCTTGGAGGCCGTCACGGGCTATTAAAGGCAAACGTTGAGCCATCTGGGGCTATCTTGGACGATCTCACGCATCTTGGGGGATGGGGGGGAGTTCAGACCCCGAGAGAATGGGGAGGGGGACAAACGTTCTGGAGAGGCTAATCTTCTAAGCGCTAATGCCCAGGAGGCTCTTCGGATTAGAATGAGTGTTCGCGGGGCCTGTCAAGCCAAGATGCTGCTCGATCCTGCGCCAGGTCACCTGCAGAGAAGCCTTCCACTTTTTTGTCGTCGCCGAATGCTCTTTCGGGTGCCGTTGTCGCCAGACCCCCTTGGCTCTCCTCGGCCGCTGTCGTTGCCAATGCCAGATGCCAGGGTATTTGGATGCCATGCTCGTATTTCAGGGATGAGGGCATTATTGGAGCCGTCTCGGGGCGGCCGTGAGCAGGTTTGGTCGATGGCTCCGCCGAGCATAGGGGCCACCTGGAGCCATCTTGGGTGCATCCTGAACCGTCTGCGCGGGCCTTCTGGAGGCCTCGGGGGCATTCTCGGGGGCGCGCCTGGGAGAGGCGTGGCGATGGAGCAGAACACTTTGAGCCCATCTACTCCAGATTTCGTAATAAAAGGGAGGGGGCTCTCATTTCGGGGGGGGGGTCTCTTCCAGGCCATCTTGGGGGGCCTGGGGGGGTCTGGGGACGGTGTTTTGGAGGGTTCTCCCACGGGGGGAGGGGTCTGAAATGGCTTGTCTTGGAGGGTCCAGACCACCTCCCTTTTATTACGAAATCTGGGGTACGCTGCTTTGATGGCTTTGCATGCCAGGTCTCCGCCTGGGGGGCCTCCTTCTGCTTCCCTTGGCCTGCCTTGGGGCCGGCGGCCGCTCTCTCGAGGCTTCTCCTGGCCGTGCCGGAGCTCGTCTGGGGCCGCCCTGGAGCGTCGCGCCACGCGCCTGCGCTCCGGCCCTGGGCAGACCTCGGCGCTTGCCCCTCAGCAGCTTGAGCCCGAATGGCCACGGATGGTATCCGTGGCCATTCGACCTAAGCCACACACACATCCCTCCAAGCCCACGGATAGTATCCAAGGACACACGCGCACACGCACGCACACACACACGCACACACGCACACGCACACGCACACGCACAAACACGCACACGCACACGCACACGCACACGCACACGCACACACACAAACACAAACACACACACGCACACGCACACGCACACGCACACGCACACGCACACGCACACGCACACGCACACGCACACGCACACGCACACGCACACGCACAC